GCCCCAAGGGCATGGAATTCAAAGTTCACTAGTTATCTTCCAACTCTTGGTTTTCAAGCATCACTTTCAGACACAAGCTTGTTTGTTAAAAATGATAATGGTGATATTATTCTACTTTTGCTCTATGTTGATGATATAATTCTCACTGGGTCAAGTCCAACTAAAATTCAGGAAGTGATTAATAACCTAGTAGATGTGTTTGATCTTAGGGACATGGGACAACTCACTTATTTTCTTGGTTTACATGTTCAAAACAATGTTGACGGATCTTTGTTCATACATCAGTCAAAGTATGCTAAAGACTTATTAAGGAAAGCTAGTATGGAAACCTGCAAGCCAACATCAACTCCATCCAAACCTCACACTCAGATACTTGTAGATGAAGGAAGTCTATTATCTGATCTAAGTTACTATAGGAGTATTGTGGGAGCTCTCCAATACCTTACTTTTACAAGACTAGATCTTGGCCACTTTGTCAATATGGTGTGTCAATATATGACTCAACCCACAAAATGCTCACTTTCACTTAGTGAAAAGAATACTTAGGTATGTACAAAGGATCATCAACTAGGGGTTACACTATACAAAGAGCCCAGAATTTCAAGTTACTGCCTATTCAGACTCTGATTAGGTAACAAATATCAACATTGGAAGGTCTATTTTAGGTTTTGTAGTATATCTAGGATCCAATCAAATCTCATGGCAATCAAAGAAGCAACCAACTGTCCCGAGAAGTTCAACAAAAGTTGAATACAAAGCATTAGCTCATTGTGAAGCTAATGTGTTTTGGATCCGATATATGTTCAAAGACATTCATAAGTTCTTATCAAAACCACCTTCAATTCATTGTGACAATCTATCAGCTTCTGCATTAAGTTCCAATCTTGTGTTCCATTCCAAGATTAAACATCTTGACACGGATTACCACTTCGTTCAAGAAAAAGTATAAAAGGAAGATATAAGTGTGCATTACATTCCAACAGAAGGTCAAGTCGCAGATGTCTTTACCAAAGGTCTACAAAGTCCAGTGTTTCTCAAGCATTGCAGACACCTTGGTTTAGGACCTCTAACACCATTGCAGCAAACTAAGCTCGGTAGTACCACGCTTAGTTTAAGGGGGGAGTAATAACTATAGTGCACATGTAGCGATCAATTGACATATGGTAATTGGTTGTTGTAAGGTATTTGTATGGATCTAATTCTACAACCCGCACTGGATTATAGAACTCTAGCGAATTGCTTTGTGTGTTTACTCTCTGGAAATTTTGTACGGAAGATAAGGAGGAAGAAAAGATGATTCTTGCTTGGATACTGTGATTGCAAATATATAGGCTGTTTCACACCCTTTCAAATACCTATTCAATGCATTTGAAAGTACACAACTCTTTCTAATAGTTGTGTCTTTTAATCAAAACGTACAACTCTTTCTAATAGATGTGTCTTTTAATCAAAACGTACAACTCTTTCTAATAGAAACGTCTTTTAGTTAATAAATTAATTAAAAAACTTAATCCAAAAAATAAAATTAATGAATCTGATTAATTAATATTAATTGTATTTAGGCTATATTATATTCAAGCTTAATCCACATAACCATAAGGCCCAAGCCTTCAATCTATTTCCAAATGATCCAAGTTCTAATTACTAAAAAGAAGGAACAAACCTATATAAAGGCTAGTAAAAAAATATTGTTGACCAATATAAGACAAGAGGGTCTCAAACTCCTAGAGAAAAGACTAGGGAATGGGATACTGTCCTTTATAGGAAACAGTCTCAGGTGGGAAAATAACAAGGGCTGGTAGTTATTGCCAATGCCGCGACAAGGTTTTCACTGTATGGGATTTTAAGGTTTATGCTGGAAGTAATTTGAAGAGCCCTTATGCACACATTCTGCATGTGGCAGGTCGCAAATCCCTTCTAGAGTGCCAGATAGAGGCAGGGCTGCGGTACCAATTTCAATTTAATGACTTCCAGCCGCCCCGAAAATCCAAAGACAAAAATGACTGCGCTTGCTGGATTTGTTGGGATTGGACTTTTCATGCTGTAAATAAAATCAACATTACATTTTTTGAAGACAACAAAATCTAACCCTCTTTTGGTCTCCATCGGTCCACCCAATTTGTAAAATAACTAAAGGATTTTGACCTTTCATGCTACAAACCTACAAAACCAAATAAAAAAAGAAAGAAAGAAAGAAGAGAAATTGACTTTTGTGGCATTATAGCAAGTTCACGATTGCATCTTGTTTTGCAAAGCCGCACGTCATGTTGCCATACTATTTGCCCACTTTATCAAAGTTTCTGCCACTAGCACCTTCTTTCTCCATTTATATAGGTCAAATATTCAGAGAGAATTTGCCATTCAATCGTTCAATCAGAAGTATATATTTGTGTTTATATTTCTTTATGTACTAATAGTTTACGTGTTGAGAGCAAATTTGCTCTTAAGATTGAGGATATATCTTCTTGTGTTTATGATACTTGATTTCTTCATATGTTAGCTTACCTATTGAGAATCAACTCTTCAATCTGAAGTATATCCCCTTGCGCTTAGTATTGAGACAAAATCAGCTTGTCAATTGTGAGTGTACACCCTTGTCCTTATTTTTACATCACATGATTTCTTTATATGTTAACTTGCTTCTTGTGTGAACTTAGGTATTGAGAGAGATTCTGCTCTTCAATCAAGAGTATATTCTCTTGTGTTTACTTGTTGGTTTCTTCATGTTTTAGCTTACATATCGAGAGAAAAAATCTGCTATATATATTCAATCAAGAGTATACACCCTTCCGTTTATGTCATTGGTTTCTTCTTCATATTTTGAATGCCCTACTCCTCCTTTTTGGAGAATTATTGCTTTACTGTGAGAAATGTCTGTCCACTTTTCACCGTACACGCTTGCAATTGACGGTGAGACGATTTTGCGTCTGTTTTATTTCAATCATTTGAATTTTCAGACCATATTCCTTTATACAAGAATAACTTGTTTGCTTCCTATCAACTGTCCAATTGCAGAGTTAGCACTGTCCAAATTGTGTCAATGTCTGCAAATACTGTGGAATTCTTGATGATGAGAACCTCCTCATATGTTCTTATGTGAGAAAAAATGTATGTTTCTTCATTCTTAGGAGTCGGTTTTGTTGCAAATTTCAGCTCTTTCCTGAAGCGGCTAGCTCATCTAACTTGTGTTGTGTGTAGATCATTTGATTTGTTAACATGGATTAGACTTGGACATATCTACTTCATCACTCTGTAGTGAAGGGTGCCGAGAGTTATGTAGAATTATTATTTTTATCTTGAAACCCTCCTTAATATTCTCTCTTAAATTTGTTCAATTTGTCAACTTCTTGTGGTGCAAAAGTTCTGACAAAACTTTTGTACAAGATTGTTGAGGAATTGGAGAAGATGGTCGGGAGAAAGAATGACTTAGACGACGGATATTCTTGGACACTTCTCCAACACAGAGATAGAAGCTCGAACGAAACTCTTGAAGATTTACATAAGAAAGAAGAATGCAATTCTAAGATTTCAGTGACATGGGGCATGATGGACCAATGTTTTGAGACCATCATAGACAGACCATCGGGCATAAATGTTCTTGAGAGCATCGTATACAGTCGGGGGTACGTAAGCACCGAACTTCATAGCCATTATTAGTCACTTACCATGAATTAACCTCATTTTATTTTCATGGACAACCATCCTTATTTCTTTTTCAGATCAAATTTGACCCGGATAAATTTCAGAGGTTTTTATACTGCTGTCCTGGAGAAGGATGATGAAGTTATCTCCGCGGCAACCATAAGTACGCTACTATATATGTTCATGCGTCTGTCATAAGCATGCACATATATATTACAATATTGAAATTTCCATGCAGTTAAATAAGAAAAAATTTCCCAAATGCAAACATGTTGTCGATGTGTCTACAATAGTTTTGACACTGCAAACTTATAATTGCCTATATGTCGTTGATGATTGACTGAAAGTGCATTTAACCGCACTGTAGAAGGACTGTTACAATATTACATGATTAACTAAGAGCATCCTTTTTTACTTGCTTATGATCACCTCATGCTTGTATAGGATACACGGAACAAGGATGGCAGAGATGCCCTTCGTTGCAACCCAAGAGAGTTACAGGAAAAAAGGGTTGTTCCCGAAGCTACTCGTCGCCATTGAATCTGTAAGTTGTTTCATAAGTTAATCTATAAAAATATCTTCACATGTTGCTTAGTGGTTTACAACACTTTCGATAACTCTTCTTTACTCAAATAAGAAAAACGATAACCTTGTCTGTTGTTTCCATTTGATGTATTCAATCCGATGACCAAAAATAAAGAGGGGTGTGTAAGAAGCTAAAAAGGGTGTGTGAATATCGCCTCCCCTTGTCATTCCATCGGCTGCCGAAGCGATTGAAATGTGGACTGACAAATTCGGATTTTCATGGGTTCACCCATTTGGGACGAATTAGTCTCCGGCTGCAGAACAGTGACGTTCCTTGGGGCTACCAGGCTAGAGAAAAAATTGCATTCAAATGAATAGGGTGTTTCATTTTGTTTGGGAAGCTGAGAGAGGTTGACCTACAACAGGGAACAAGTCTGAAAACGAATGTCATAAACAGTCGAGGTTGGAGAAAATGGCACAATGGAACATACACTTTCGTCGGAGGCCCGTCCTTGGAGCTTTACTCGGGAGAATGATATGACTATCTTAGTACCATGCACCTGGTACTCTGACATTGGCTCGAGACATTTTCTCTACAGCATCCAGTCACTAAGACTGTCCTTTTTAACATTTGAACAGATTTCATTCTCTTTCTAATTAGTTTAGTAGGGAACTCGAACTTGAAATTTGTAGTCGCTTCGTAATTAAATGAGCATAATCACCAAAAACAGGGCAAAGCCTTAAACACAAAGTACAGCAACAGAACTCACAAAAACTAAAATAAATCAACACAAAACAGAAAATGTCCAGGAGAAAGACGGAAGACGATATCATACGTAACAAGATCATAGTAAGTTATATTAATATTGGAGTCTGAAACCGAGTCTCCCATGAAGAAACGTGATTAGTTCTGTTTCTGGTCCATATGTCGTTACAAAAATTTAAAAAGAAGATAAACAATGGGAAAAAGAACATTAAATGTAGCATGATTAGCATTCTCCATCTCACTATGTACCATATAGGGCTGAGCCATCGCCTTTTCTTTAACTTCTCATGGCATCCGATGATTCTGATCCCTTGTGTTTGTACTCGTCAAGAATGACGTTGCAACTATTCAGTATGCATGCATCAAGAAGACCGTGATTCCAAAGTTTGATCATGAATAACCTCCAACACCTGAGTTAATGAGCACTTGTTAAATTTCACACAATTATCCAATGAACGATAAAAACACGCATCAATCAGTACCAAAAAGATAAAAGTTGGAATATGCAACCGAGTAAAATACGTTTAAAGAATGATATGCAGGAAATAGCCATCCTTCCAAATATCACTGACCCCTCTGCTTCAGTGCTGCTACTTTCGAAAAGTTGGATTATCTTGGGAATTATGTTTTCTTAATTGTACCATTAATTGTGGAATTAGGGAAAACTAATGCAACAGCAGTACCAGAAAAGAGCGGGGGACGAGTTTAGCTCAGGTGCACGAAGTCTTGAGAATGCCTCGCATGCCCAGGCAGCATGACCATCTGCTATCACGCTACATCATTGATAATGCATCTTTGTCATTACAGGAAATCCGAAAACTGACGTGAAGTTAAGATGCCACCATTTTTTTGTATCAACATCACATATAAACCAGAAGTAACAGGATAATAGAAAAAGAACAAGAAAATAAAGTTTGAACAATATCAGAAAGCCGAAAGCAGCAAGAGATGACAACCTTTGCTTTTGAACAAATGAGTTCCAAAGATGCATAAGATGCTTTTCATCTTTGGTAACATCTACAAAATCATCAAGCATCTGCAACATAATAATGTACTATTAGATTTTTAGTTCTGAAAATACTGTTAGACCCAAAACCAATTACGTGTAGAGAGACCCTATTCTTATGTTTGTAATGCTAGCTTTAATAGTGCACCCGATGTGTGATTATTATTTCCTAACAGGCCCCTTCAACACATGGATCAATTATATCACATGACATAGAGCACGTGTAGAAAAATTGAACCACACACATTTATTACTGTACTTCCAACAAAGTTATGGTTGGAGCATCCAACCCAAAACCAATTGACTATGCAAGGAGAAGCCTAAGTTTTCAGATAATGTGATCAAACGTTTATAATACTTGCGGATGGATCTTTATATTCTTAGCAAGTCGGATAATTAAAACATCTAGTTTCAAACAAAAACTAGGGAAGGCCAAACAAACTAGATCCAATGAGTTATAATTGAGCCAAGAAAGAACTAAACTGCAGTCATCCACAGGGTTTTAGTAGTACAAAGACAAAATTCAATGCAAGTAGAATTTTTAATCTTGTGCAACATGAATCGATGTACAATAAGAAAATTCAATCTAGGAGAATCATTAAGCATACCCTCCGATCATCAAGGTCTGCAATGTCTTCATCAACTTCATCTTCGCTATCCCGATCTGATAATACTTGCTCTAACTCCATAGGCTTCACATAAAAAGAAATATTCATCCAGATAAGTTTATTGTTTTGATGAATCAGCTCTTAGGAATCTATTCAACATAACTGCATATAACAAGTAAAATATCTTTGATTAAATATTTCAAAGACATAGTAAGGCAAATGCATAAAATGAAATGTAATGAAGCTGTCGAAACACCAGCAGTTACAATAAACTGTGTTTTTAAATAACTATGGCAGAATGCATGTACAAGACAATAAAAATTTTCACAATCAGAGCATAAAAAGCAATCATGTTTGCTATCTAAATGCTCAATCACGAACGTTTTATATTGAAGAGGTCTGATGTAGGAAAGTTGAAATAGATAGGAACATAGAAGGGAACCAGAGTCACTCCAGCCTTTGGCTTCATGCCAAAGGTGTATTGGAACTTGGAATCACTCCAATAGAAAATTTCAGCACCACACCAAAGGTGCCTTGGAATTACTGCAGGTGGTTGTGTCTCACACACAAGCAGGAAATCAAGAATTTCTTCACACAGAAGCAGGAAATCCAGAATTTCTTCTCACTTAACACTTCTTTAAAGCATACAAAGTAGCCCTTTTTATAGTCTAATTGGTATATGAATCTGGAAAGATCCACATTAATATACTACTCAGGAATTCTAAAGACTAATCTATGACACCTAATCCTTTAACATTGTAACATAAGAAAGTAGAAAGAACTTGCAGACTAATCTGCATGTATTACATAAGAAAGTTGAAAGACTCTAATTTATTGAATTTAACTTGGCTCCTCCATCAAGGTCCCTTGCACATAATTCTCTATCCAAAAGCCTTCAACATAAATTTTATAAGAATGGGTCCCTCTCAGTTACACATCGTAACAATAACCCAATTTGGTCACTCATTAGAAAATAGAAAATACATCCACTGTTGCATAAATAAACTACAACTGCAGTGCTACTTCCCAGGGGCTAAAAAAAGGCGCAAATTCATTCTTTGAAAGCACAAAACCCACAAAGCCGACTGCTCAACACCAAAAAAGAAATACATGCAAGGAGTCCATGATAATTACTGAAAATAATGCGTTTATAAATAAAGATAGAAATCCATCAGACAAATCATAAGCAAACTAAGTAATGTAAGAAATACGGGATAGATAATGAAAAAATTACTCTATAATTGTTTAAAAAAAAAAAAAAAAAAGGATTATTACAGCTCATTAACAGTATAAGTTTTAAACTGTTGCAAAATAAACGATCTGAGTTGACAGCAGCTTATGGCATGTAAGAAGTAAAAGAAAAATTAAGCCTACAAAAAATGCAAATTGATGGAGAAACAAAATTTGGAACTGCTATCGGGTTTAGAAATCAATTACTACCTGAACTCTATGAGAGTGAAAGAACTGTCGTTTCTGCAGGAGCATACGGCTGGCATACAAAAATTCAAGAACTGTGAGAAGTGTCAAAATAAATTCACAGCCTCAATTATGGACACTTCAAATAAGGATACCAATTTCAAAAACGGCGGGGACACGAGTCTCTGCTTTTGATACTCTAAAAACACATCCAAAAGTGAAGTACACAGACTGATAGTATTGACAATGAGAAAAACATTAATCAAGTAATTCTTATAAGGAAAATCAACGGAAGCATCTGAAAAACAATGGAGAGAAACCATAACATAGGTTAACATACTTTCTTGGCTCTGAACGCTCTGCAGTTAACTTCCTTGTTTTAGTTGGTGGTGCATAATCACTTCCAGATAGCAATTTAACACAATCAAGGTCCGGAGAAGATTGAGCAATGGAAATTGTAGCACCAGGACCATTGGAAATTGAGGTAGCACATTCTATACATTCTATAGAACTAGGATGATCATGACCGCAGTTTTCATGTCTATGCCTTCCATTTTGGGAACCTTTTCCACTGCGGAGCAGATTGGGAGCCTTCACAACTTCACAGGATAGAAAATCCAAAGAATACAGTTAAATCTCAGTTGAATCCCCAAGACAAAAATTGAGTAAGTCAAATCAATCTTCAGTTGAATCCCCAAGACAAAAAATTTAAAACAGTCACATCTGTAAAATGTGCTGCACAATCACATGTTTTGTTTTTTGTTTTTTTTTTTTTTTTTAAATAATTAATATGATTAGACATTTCATTTAAATACCACTTTTGGTCCAAGGGAAGCTATTATTAAACTAAGCATGGCTTGGATTTAAAAGTAACCCACATTCAACCCGATTGACACTCAATCATAATATCAGACTCTCAACTGAATTTGAGCTGGGATTTGTCATCCAACAGTCACTATTATCTAACTTAAACTGAACTTGGTGGAACAGTGAACAGTCGAATCAAAGTATGTAACTGAACTTGTTCAACCAATAAACAAGTGCTTAGTTAATACTAACTTCAAACCAATTCTATATGTTATATATTAGAGATCTGAGTTGCAAAGACAGCCATCGACTGATATAACAGCAAAATTGGAGTTACTATATACCACAAAAGAAGTCAACAAAATAAGAAAAGGGCAAACCAACCTGACCAGCTATTTCCTGGGTAAGAAGGGAAAAATGTATAAGAAAATAGGATGAAAGAAATGCCATAATACAATGTTGGAGTTGTGAACAACAATAAGACATGCAACATGAGCATCATACCATTATATAGAGACCTTATGCATTAGCTCAGTTGTGAGCAAGAGAAGGGCAGAAACACTCTAAACCACTACCCAAAACAAAAGAGGATTAAGAAATTAAAATTTCTCTAAAGCAATCTTGATAGAGACTACAGGTACTCCGAATGTGCCAAGGGTGATACATCTCTGCACATTAACAGGATATGATGGAATTTGTCATCTCGTTGTCTTGAGTTTGCTTTTATTTTTCACTACCTGAAAATGATCAACCCAACGGAGTATGAAGGGAAAATTTACCATCACCATTCTCCAAATGTCCCTCCTGTGCCCCTCCATTGGCAAGGCTAGGTGAGTCTAACTCCAAGAATTGTATATGAACGTGGTTTTCAAGTTGACCATGGTTCTTTGGCCTATGTTTTCTTGACCTTGAACTGCACAAAAAAGTTATTTCGCCTACTCAACTCTCTGAATTCTTTTAAGAGAACAAATGGGATAATAACCAGTAGCTTTAAGTTGTACCAAGAAATTTAAACCGACCAGAAGAAGAATGTTTGAAGTTGTGGAACTACTCCATCTGCTACTGTCTGTATATAAAAAATGTAACCAGATATGATTGGGGCATAAAACTTGTTCATGCATGTTAAAAAATCATAAGGAAACACAAGCCAGTACAGGAGTGCCTATGAGTTTCTTTTGTTCAACATATGAACCCTAATGGCAGCAAATATTTTGAACTAGCACAAAAAAGATCCACATACTTCATGATGAAAACAATTCTGACCTCAGATCTCAATATGTCAACTTTCACGGAAACGTTGACTGCCTGATACTCTCCAGTTACCTACAAAATAAATGCTTCTTCAACAGCCTCTTAAGAATAAGCAGAAAGTGACTACATATACTCAATCACCAACCCAAAACTCAAAGTTGAATAAGTCATGTGAAGAGCACAAGTGATAACGCAGACCCTACAAGAAAACATGAAGGTTTACTTCAGCAACAAGCTAAATCAGTGTACAGTAGTAAACCATATAAAATGTTGAAACTAAAAACAAACAAAAAATCATGGAAACAGCTCACTTAACAGAAGAACAATAACCTTCAATATTATGGTTCAATAAATAAATTAGGTTTTTCCAGGAGAGAAATATACAGATTATGAATAAAAACTGAAACTCTAGCCAAATGCGGGTATGCTGACATCATATCACAAATAATTCAGCCTAAAAAAAAATCTCTAAAATTATAAACAACTGGCGATTCCATTTTGCAAATGAACACTGAAAAGACACTATAAAAGATTGAATAATTAAAGGTTAAGTTTCTCAGGATTAAACAAATCCGAAGCATGTGTGTACAGTGGAATATGTAAGAAAAGTTAATCACTGATATGGACATAACTAAGAGTTCCATATTAGATCAGTATTTCCCACGATATTTTATATGAAAACATATATGTTTAGATTATTTCAACCCAATCTTTCTGCAGATACTGAAAATACTTTATAGGTTTTATGCAATTTTCAAAATACAAGATAAGGTATTCCTAATGGGGAGTAATTCTCCTTTCTATCCCTTACTAAGGGAAACTTCGTTTTTCTACTATTATACTAATTTTAATCAAACATAAATGGGACAACATTGAAAGCAATATCCATACTGGCTCGTACCTTGAAGCTTGCACATTGCATCAAGCAAAAGGGACAGGAGAAGTCCTCAGTAACTGAATGTCAAAAAAAAAGGTACATATGAGTTTCAGTAACTGAATGTTCAACATTAAAAGCTTCATTGCCGATGAAAATGAAGTTCCTATAAACAAAAATATGATTTACCAGAAACTTAAGCAGTTGTCTCAATGTTAATCCTAAAAAGTGGAAAAAAACCAGATCACATATATTTTTCTTAGGAGCCCATACCACCAGGCAGCCAACCAAACCATTTTAAATAAGAAACTAAATAATGCATTTACTCTGACAAGGGGAAAATTTTAAAGAGAGAGAAACAGTATCCTAGGACACCCATTTCCCTTTTTAATCAAGCTTTACACCTTAAATTGTCATTATACAAGAATCAAGTCGTGCCAAGTAGGGCTTCATGAGTTAAAAGATGGGGGTGGGGCCAGCAGAAACGGAATAAATAAAAAGAAGAAATTTGAGAGAAACCCTCCTAAAGGACAAGAAAAAAAAAGTACTAAATAAATCCAGAGACATCAGAAACAACAATAAACTTGCAGAAATTTGTTTCTACAGGAAAAACGGTTTTTTGATGAATTAATTAACAAGTATGGTTGAAACTTCAGATACAAATAACCATTGTAACTACTGTAATAGAAAAGAATTACACTTCTGAGGACAAAGACATTGATGATACCTTCAGTTTTACATAAAGTGTTGTTGTAGTCCCTGTAGTTGAATATAACAATCGCAGCCCTGGACCTACAAAATAACATGCTGAAAATTATACAAATTGCCCTCTCAAAGTAAGCAACATAATGTCTTCTTGAAGTCCTCGCAGCAGAAAAAATAATGTGCTCGAGGAAGCATGTGTGTGTGCCTTGACAAACTATGAGACTATACCGAACGGAACGATTTCAGGTGGACTACCACATATCAAAACTCTACATCTGTAGTCTTCATAGAATTAAAAAAATCGTTTTGAAATAAAATCATTGAAGGCAATGGAAACAAGAACTAAACAAAACTTCATGCATAAACATACTTCCATATGCCTGACTGTGTGTACTTATAGATAGATTAGTACCTCTTTCTACGCCTTGCTTGGATTTTGTAATGCAAACATCTGCGAAGAAATAATGGCTACAACATAGAAAAGCCTTGATTAGAATACAGAAACATATGTTGTACGTTTTTACAAAGAGTACACCAAGACCTCATAACCACCCACACATATGGCACACAAAGCGAACAGCATAGAGCTCAACATTACATGAGTAATATGATTGCAAATAAACACATTGGATTAACATTCCCTTGTTCTTATAACCATAATACACCAAACTATGCCAAAACATCGAACGGGTCCAAGATTGTATTAAATTTGTCGCCATTTTACCAAAATTGCCAATGAGGATCATTACAAGTGCAATCATATTTGAATCTGCACTCCTGATTAAACCTTGATAACCACGATCTTTGGAATATCGCGTAGGAACTCGCAATTATGACGGAAAATTAACATATAACATGATTATACAAAAGAAGTAGAAACAGAACAAAATGCATGAGTGTGAACATACATTGTGTAAAGCACGAGGGCGAAGAATGTTGTAGAGCTCAACCGGCTTGCAATATATCAAAAGACTCTCGTCGATCGCAACCGCCTCCTCTACCGGCAAATGCGCATAAGAATTGTGACGGCACATCTTATATCCCTACGGCAGACAATACAATCAAAGCAAACAGCAGAAAATTAAGATTTTCAATTTTCGATTTTCACAGAGATCTGATATATGACGATATTTGAGCTATAATCTTGAGTTAATTTTGGTTAATTGAAATTAAGCTATAAAATTAACAAGAAAAAATGCCAATTCAACACAGAAGAGAAAGTAGTTTGCACCGAGGGAATGACTAGCTTTGCTGACCGGAGATAAAGGAGACTCACCGGTTTGAAGGTTGAGCCGGAAAATTGGCCGGAGAAGACAGAGTTTCGGGGTTTTCAGCTTCGAGAGCGCCGGCGAGGAGCTCGAGAGCAGCTGGGCCCCCAATTTACTTTGTAACATAAGGATTCCGTCACGTTAAGTCGTTTGGTCAGGAAACGGGAAGTTGCTCAAAGTTGAACTTTTTCGTATTCGGTGGCCCCATTTTTTTCTTTTTGGTTTGAAGTGTTTGATTGTCTCGGTAAAGAAAGAGCTCCTTTTTTTTTTAACAAAAATAATAGTGAATTTCATTAAGAATTTTCTTTTTGGAGAAGAGCTTAACTTCATTAAATTTAAAATTTATAAAGCCAACCAACGGCCCAATACAAACAGTGGAGGCCCAATTCCACAACAACATAGACTTGAAAACACACAACAATAAGAAATAAAACCTAATATCCATCACAGAACCAAGTTGACATAACATGGGGGTGGGGAGGGCCAAGGGGATGTGTAAAACACCCTTACTCCGACCATGCTGCAGAACACTTCGCCCAAAATTTCTGGCATGCTAGTAAAGCAGGGAGCAATGAGGTAAAGATCTACCTCCGAAATCGAGTCCAAAACTCGAAGATCTGATTTTTGATAGGGATTAAAAGGGGTCGGAGATGGAGGTGTAGGCAAAGGAAAAAAGGGAAGAATGAACTTAGGGAAAAGGACTGCAGAAATGAAATTAGAAAAAGAAGCAAGGGCAATAAGGAGGAGGAGAAAAGAAGGGAGGCAACAAAACAAGAAAGCCATAGATAAAACCGATAAGACATGCCAGAAAACAGAGAGGATCGCCGAGACTGTGACCTCGAAAACCGACAACCATAGGTTGCGGAGGGCAGGACATATACAAAACACTGAAGAGAAGAAGAAAAAGAAGAGGTAAGGGGTTGCCTGCCGACCCCATCCAAAGGAATGAGTCTGTGGTGAAGAGCAAGATAAAATGGGCTTTTGTGTGAGAGAAAAGAGAAGGAGTGGCTAGGTCAAAAAAGGCCTTTAGTGAATTTCATTAAGAATGAATGTGTTTTTTTTTTTTTTTTTTCCTTTTTCTTTCGTACAATCATGTATTTAAATTTAAGGATTGAAAAATAAATTGGTATCAAATGCGTCATTTTAAATCTCTCACTTACAAATGAAGACTACTACTAAAGTGCAGTTTCTAGTGGTATCAATAAATATATATATTGGTTAGGACTAATAATAAAAGATTTAGAAATTAGACTGTATGAAAAGGTTATAGTTACATAAATATATTAAGTCAAATTAGAGAACAAATAACACTTGCCAATACAACGGAAGGCAAACAACCTAAGACAAATTGGAGGTACTTAAACACAAGCCCAACCAATTAAAGTCTAGGCACTCGCCACCAACACTTTGTCAGCAGGTACTAAGGTAGTCGCAATAAAAATGAAACCAAGTGACTCATTTGATCAAGGCATTGCAACATGAAATCAACCTCAATGGAATTTCGCCACTAGGAATGTTGACTAGAAGAGTTAATAGATCCAAGACACCTTCATACTCCTACAAGTACATCTAAACACAAAAGCATGTGAGAAACCTACACATCATAAAAATTAAACCTATGCATGATATTCAAACAAACCAAATGAATCAATGCAAGTCAAAGCAAAGAACTCTGAGTATAAAGGAACATAATCTACAAACATGATTATATGTATTATCTGAAAAACTTAAACAAGTACTTGTATAATTTTGAAGTCTTTGGAGTTTCGTAAGCAGCACACAACTGAGCATATGTTTTCTTCTTAAAAGCAAGTGCCTGTGCAATTTTGAAGTGTTTGGAGATCTCTAAAACAAGTGTTGGTGTAGTTCTGAAGTGTTTAGATAACCTAAAACAGCAAACAATGGAATGTACATTTTTTACTTAAAAATCTCTAAAATGTTTGAAGGTTACCATAAATTCATAACTACAATAAAACCAACTGAGCAAGTGTTTTCTTCATATAAACAAGTACTTGTGCAGTTCTTAAGTGTTTGGTGGTTCGCTAGCAGCATGCAGCTGGTTATAGAGCTACGTTAATATTTTTTTTTTTTCCTAAAAACAAGTACTTGTAGAGTTCTAAAGTTGGTCATACAACAATTAGCAGGCTACAAGCACAGGCACATGGCACCCTGGCCCGGAAGTCCAATGCATCATCCAACTTCCAAAAAGTTTATATAAACCATTCAAACATGGGTTCTACGTCATTCGAGAGAATAGTCGAAAGGGCAATTCAAAAATCATTTGAAAGTGGCTCTGAACTCTAACCACGAGTATGATTACTTCTATCCCAAACTAGTGTACTAAGCCAAATATTTTATGCAACATCGTATGTTAGCAGGTTCGAAAGGGCATCCAAACTAGGGCAATCCCTAAGAGGAATTTTATTCTAATAGAGGTTTGATTTACGGAAACGCTTTGTCCAAGCCAGCTAAGGTAGTTCAATAGAACACGTTCAAGTCCGACACATAGGGTCTGACAAAAGAATTCAAAAAGTGTTTCCAACCCATATGTTGATGGCTAAGTTTCCAAAGAACTTTTTGTTTAAGATTCATTGGAAACAAACATGCAATTATTGCTCAGAGTGGTCATTCCCTCTAGCACTACATTGCAAGTACTGAAGCTCTTTACCTAAGAACCAGACAAAGTTCGTTTACTTTAGAGAAGTTTATTAGATTAGGATTTCCCCCTGTTAAGAAGAATTCATATTATGACTGAAAAAGTTTGAAATTACAAAAGGGACATGCTTTCTCTCCTAGCCAAAGAAAGACTTAAAAGCTAATCTCCCTTTGCGACTTATTTCCCTTTAGACTGGACAGAAGACTTTTCAGAAGCATCAAAGGCCGGATCACATTTGAGTCAGATTCTTCTTGCTCCGCCTCTAAGTCCGAGATCTTGTCCAGCAGGTGTTGTAGGGGAGGAAAATCCATGCGCTTGATATCGTCATAGATCTTGTAAACATCCACCAGCAAAATACCAGGTTATATCCTTCGTCGTACCCTTGTGTGAGCAACTTCTCATGGTCATCTAGGAGCGCCGACATTTCAGAGGCATGTCTATCTATAAGTTGCTAGAAAATTGCAATGCATGTGTTCTTGCTTTGATTAGCTTCTTGTCAAAGCTACTTAACCTTCAGACAAAGAGCTTTTCGCTTTATATCCCAAACACCTCGCTCCAAAGCCAACACACGTTTTGATTCTTCCTTTAAGACAGCAAGAGTCGATCCATCTCTACCTTGGCTTGTCTTTTTAACCTCAAGTCATCTCTTGCCCTCGCGAGATCTTCTTGATAATCCTGAGCCTTTAAGTCTTTAAGTGCAGTAACGTTGACGTACCGGTATGTCTCTACTTCATGAGCATCTTTCAAAGCTTGTTGCCCGACCCACATGTTCTTAAGCTTCTTCGATTGGATAACAATCATTGATCCGCCTTCATTTTCGTCGTAGTCTCTAGATCATCGATTCGTTCGAGTTCTCAAATCTGTCTCGCTTGTCAAAAAAGGGCCATCTCCGTCCACATGTTAGCCTAATATACAGAAATTATAAAGGAAGACAATTTTGATAGCACATGTTACCAAAAAGGAAATATAGAAAGGAAAGTCACCTCGTAACGAATCACATAACTTCAAGAGATGCAACAAGGAGACCATGAGTGAAGCTGGTATTTCGAAGTCTACTGGCATCAATAAGAAGGGCAAATATTACCTCTTGCTCTCTCAACAAGGCTTTTATCCAAACAAAAATATTGCAGGCATTACCACACTACTAGAATTTATGGTTTGCCTTACCAAAGATTCCACAACAGAAAAGATTTCATCGGCTTAACCCTTCTTACCCGACAAAAAATAAGGTTGGTAGGGCTAAATCAATCAACAAATTTGGTTCACTGAATCAATTTACATGATGGCTAAATTTATTAGGTTAAGACAACGTTCGTTACGTAAACTTTTAGCACGAAGATGGGAATGTTTTGATCAATGAATTACCTAGTTGTCATGTAGGTTTTCTTTGCCGACGGAAGTTCATCGGGTCTCTTTCTTCCACTAGTTACGTGAAAAATTGTCCACAGTAAATAATTGCCCTACAAAAGAGTTTGTTGGGTTAACCCATAGTTATCATTTATGAGTCTCGTGCCTTCCCTTCCTTTTTCTGCTCCATACATTCATTTTCCTCTTTCTACTATGTGCCCTCCTATTCATTTTTCTCCATTCTCCCATTCTTCTTTGGTTCAAGACCATTGTACATACCCACTACCCAGACTTTCCCGTTTGATCATTTTGCACAAGTTTATGAAAAAAACATCATTAACAAAGGTAAGTTTATTATGGCCATAAGTCTTGGGAGTTCATCGTAAGGTCGAAGAAGGTGGTGAACAAAAGTTGTTTGGATTTCTTGCTTGTGGAAGAACATGGAAAGGATACTACCGTAATGAAAGCCTTAAATCGTAAGGTTAGGCCAGTCAAGAAAAAAATACTTAGCCATGTTTATATAGCTCAAGCTTAATTGATTTTAAAAGTGTTTACTTATGGGTTCACATCCAAGCTTTTATTTTAAATGTTTTGTATATTTTCATAGCATTAAACATTATAAAAATCAAAGCATTGGGTGATATCATGTAAGTTTTTCTATATTTTCAGTATTTTGTAATGGATTGTAAAGCTGTAAACCATATGGCTGAGCGTTTGTTCACGAAAATTTGCATTTTACTTAATGAAAGTATAGGAAAAAGACCAAGTCTTTCTTGAATCCATGATTTCGAAGGGGAAACAAATCCTGCGAAACTAGTTTTACCAATTGTATTCATACTAGGGTATCTAATTCGATAGGAAAAGGGAATATGATCCAAATGTGTAGTCAAAAGTACAACTTTTGAAGTGTCACAAATATCCAAGGGTCTTAAAAATGAACTGTCATGTTAGTTGCCTGACGCATTTTCATTGGGTAGGTCAACAACAGTCAACAAAAGCTATAATTCCAATGTGCAAGTATCACATAAATCCAAACACGTGTGTTGGGAATCTACTGACACAATTTTTACCTGATGGACTTCCAAAGGTTAAAGTCTTATTAGTCAACGTTTCCAACTCCTACTTCCAAAGTGTCATAGATATCCAGTCACGAGCATAAGAATCCACTGACAGGTATTTGCTGATGAACTTCCGTCGGGTAAAATCTAATAGGTCAAAAGTATTTTCTCAACGTGCCATAAACATCTAGTCACGACCCTAGGGATTATACTGATATATGAATTGCCCGATGGACCTCTGTCGGGTAAAATCCAATTGGTCAAAAGTCGAATTTCTATTTACCATGTGTCACATATATCTACCTCACGTGGGGATAAAATCCAGTAATTACCGGATGAGAGTTCGTCGAATAAACATATATTCATCAACTATAAATAGCTTCCTATCTCTTTATATTTCTCATATAAATAGAAGTGTTTTCTTTTGTAAAGTTAGTTTTTGGATATTCCTTTTAGAATCAGGAAATTGTGTGAGTGGTGGGAGGGTTTGGAGTATTAGGGTTGTTTTAAAGGATATCATAGTGGATTGGTGGACGGTGTAGATGTAATTTTAGGTGAGTTAATTGTCAGGTTTCATAGCAACTATAAGATTTGCATTATAATATTATAACTAGTGGTTTGAATGGAAATAAGGATCGTCTGGTAGGCTAGTCGAGTAATTTGTCTTTGTCAATGAATGTGGCAATCAGAAGTTACTCGAATGACTTCTAAGTAAAATAATAATGGAGGTATTGAAGAATATTATTAATTAAGCTATACTGAAATACAAAATTAAACTGAAATCATGTATAGTATCAAATGTAGGTTGGTTTT